AATAGATGAGTGTGTTTAATCCACCATCTTAACCCAGAAGTCATTTGAAGCACTTTTATCAGTTGGCTTCAGTGACACTGTGTTCTCTTGAGTGTCATCTTCGTTCACTTGGTGTTCAACCCCAGTCTCTTGCTGGGTCCCCCTCCTCCTTCTGATCTCTACATGTTGCAGGGCCTCAGGGCTTGACCTTCTCTTTTTTTTTTGCTGGATTCATTCCTTAGGTGGCTTCATCCACTCCTAGGCCTGTAAATCCCATCATTATGCTTATGCTTCCCAAATTTATCCTTCTGGACCTTCCTTCTGAATTCAGAACTCCTCTCCCAGAGTCTTCCCTTGCATGGCTGAGAAGCATCTCACCCAGCCACCCTCCCTTCCCCTCCCCGGCTTCTCCCGCAGCGTTCTCCGCGGTAAAGGGCCCCACCGTAAACCAGCAACTTAGGCTAATTACTTGGTGTCATTCCTTGATTTCTCTCTGAATCTCACATCCAATCTCTCAGAAAATCCTGAAGACTCTATTTTTAAAATATAGTCCAAATTGGGCCACTTCTCATCACCTTAACCGCTCCGTCAGATGTTGTCCTAAGCAGAAAAGCTTTCTGGAGCAAGTGTATAAGATAGCACCCTTTTCAGCACAACGCCCTCTGTACATCTGTGTGTATCCAGTCCCAGTGAGGCGCCACAGAGTAGATTCTATTTTTCTTCCTTTCCATATCTGTAACTCCCTTCACCAACAGTGAAAAACCTGGCTCCTATCATCCTCAGCTAAAAGGGGTCTTAGGGATAGAATCTGAGACCCTGGCATTCCAGAGCAGAAACAGAGTAATCAAGAAGTGAAGTGAGGGACTTCCCTGGTGGTCCAGTGAGTGGGACTCCGTGCTCCTGATGCAGTAGGTCCACGTTTGATCCCTGGTCGGGGAACTAGATCCCTCATGCATGTGCAACTAAGAGTCTGCATGCCACAACTAAGAAGTCTGCATGCTGCAACTGAAAGATCACGCATGCCCAGCGAGGATCCCGCTTGCCGAAGCTGAGACCGGCTCAGCCTAAATAAATAAATAAATAAATAATAAAAAATATATATATAAAAAAAAAGTGGAGTGAGGAGCTGATCGAAGACGACACTAGGTAGCTTGAACAGAATTTTTACGTCTGAAAACTGTGTAACAAGGTGCTTAGTGTTAGAGGAGCGCTAGTGATACGCTATTATAATTTACTTTTAAATGCTCTTTTTGCGTAATTTCTTTTTTTAAAAATTTTTTCGCGGCACGTGGGCCTCTCACTGCTGTGGCCCCTCCCGCTGCGGAGCACAGGCTCCGGACGCGGAGGCTCAGCGGCCATGGCTCACGGGCCCAGC